AGTACTGACAATATAAGTACACTGCTTTTGCTTACTTTAGTACTGTCAATATAAGTACACTGCTCTTGCTTACTTTAGTACTGCCAATATAAGTACACTGCTCTTGCTTACGTTAGTACTGTCAATATAAGTACACTATTCTTGCTTACTTTAGTACTGTCAATGTAAGTACACTGCTCTTGCTTACTTTAGTACTGCCAATATAAGTACACTGCTCTTGCTTACTTTAGTATTGCCAATATAAGTACACTATTCTTGCTTACTTTAGTATTGCCAATATAAGTACACTGCTCTTGCTTACGTTAGTACTGTCAATATAAGTACACTATTCTTGCTTACTTTAGTACTGCCAATATAAGTACACTGCTCTTGCTTACTTTAGTATACTGCCAATGTAAGTACACTGCTCTTGCTTACTTTAGTACTGCCAATATAAGTACACTGCTCTTGCTTACTTTAGTATTGCCAATTTAAGTACACTATTCTTGCTTACTTTAGTATTGCCAATATAAGTACACTGCTCTTGCTTACGTTAGTACTGTCAATATAAGTACACTATTCTTGCTTACTTTAGTACTGCCAATATAAGTACACTGCTCTTGCTTACTTTAGTACTGCCAATATAAGTACACTGCTCTTGCTTACTTTAATACCGTCAATATAATTACACTGCTCTTGCTTACTTTAATACTGACAATGTAAGTACACTGCTCTTGCTTACTTTAGTACTGCCAATATAAGTACACTGCTCTTGCTTACTTTAGTATTGCCAATATAAGTACACTATTCTTGCTTACTTTAGTACTGTCAATATAAGTACACTGCTCTTGCTTATTTTAATACTGACAATATAAGTACACTGCTCTTGCTTACTTTAGTACTGCCAATATAAGTACACTGCTCTTGCTTACTTTAGTATACTGCCAATGTAAGTGCAATGCTCTTGCTTACTTTAATACTGACAATATAAGTACACTGCTCTTGCTTACTTTAGTACTGCCAATATAAGTACACTGCTCTTGCTTACTTTAGTATACTGCCAATGTAAGTACACTGCTCTTGCTTACTTTAATACTGACAATATAAGTACACTGCTCTTGCTTACTTTAGTACTGCCAATATAAGTACACTGCTCTTGCTTACTTTAGTATACTGCCAATGTAAGTACACTGCTCTTGCTTACTTTAATACTGACAATATAAGTACACGCACTATAATATATAGTAAAACAAAATAATACGTTCAAACAGAGCTTTGACGTAAAATTTTAACGTGTGAACTGAAAAAATGATTCGACCAAACTTCCGTTCGATCAAATTTCCGTCGATCAATTATCCGTCGACAAAATTTCTTTCAAACAAATTTCCGAATACGAAACAGGACGGATGCGTCATAAGGGTGGACTAATATAATTTCATTTTGATATTTTCGTACGTAATACATGGTTAACCCCTGCTATAAATCATCAGATGAACGTCAACCAGAAGGGGAAACAAGCACATTGTTTACATTTGTGGATACAAATATTAGCAAACAAATATTTAGAGTGATCTCCTTAATGGAGCTGTTACTAAATTCTAGGGTGGTTTATGATTATAATTACTTTTGACATTTCGCAAAAATAGATCAGCCACAGAGGAAGACTACACGTCCGCAAAACCATTTACCCCCCCTTTTGATCGCATTTGTCCGCTGTTGAACGATCCCCCCCCCCCACCCCCACTCGACCCGCCTCCACCGATGTCCTTGATAGACGGCAGAGGAGAGTTAGGCAACTGGGCCTATCGTATTGAAGTTAGGCAACTGGGCCTATCGTATTGAAGTTAGGCAACTGGGCCTATCGTATTGAAGTTAGGCAACTGGGCCTATCGTATTGAAGTTAGGCAACTGGGCCTATCGTATTGAAGTTAGGCAACTGGGCCTATCGTATTGCTAATCATTTGATCGGCCGAGCTGCTTCACTTTCCTCTTTATTCCTTTTTTTTTTTTTTTTTTAGTGGATGAAAAATTGGCTGCGACTTTTTGTACCTGGGTACCATAAGTGAGTCAAAATGGATCCAGACACGCAGCGCCGCCATTCGCACCCGGGTACTAGAAGTGAGAGGTTGGGATTAAAAATAAAAACTATTTAAAAATTTTACGGTTGGGTTCGTAAGACAAAATGAGGTATCGAATGAAAGATAATCGAATGGACTATGTTAGTAAACTTAATTCTTCAGTTTAACTAAAATAAACTGCCGCAAATGACATCCAAATAGCTTGAGCCTAATGGTCCATTCAATTATCTTTCATTCGATACCTCATTTGGTCTTTTTCTAGTGAGAATTTAAAACGTTTTTTTTTTTCTTTGCTGTTAGTTGTTAGTATCAATGCTACCAGCACTCTCTACCAACAGGAAGATTTAAGAGAAAAACTTAATCTGCGGAGCAAGTGCTGTCTTGAATTATATCTAGTCTGAATGCAGTTTAACAGGACAGTTGCTATGAGTACACTGCAAGTGCAGCTTAACAGACCAGCTGCTATGAGTACACAACAAGTGCTGTCCGAATGCAATGTAACCGAACAGTTGCTATGAGTGCACAGCCAATGCTGTCCGAATGCAATCTAACAGAACAGCTGCTATGAGTTCAGACAACCTTTTAATGATCTCCCCACTCTATCTAAATGAGGCTTTGATCAATGTCGACGCATCTACTTTGGCTAGCCAAAATTCCACAATTACCAGTAAATCGTGTATTCAAAACACTATAACAGATTCTGACAACGTTAGAAAGATTAGGTATATTCTCAATAATTAGGCATTTTAAATACTTTTTCTATTGAAAGATCCCCACGTGATTTCCAGTGAGCAAGAAACGATAACAAGCTGTTTGAATGGCTATTCTCTACGCTAGAGACCGATCGAATTTCGGCTTCGGTGCCGAAAGTGGCCATTTTATCACTTTCGGCCAAGTTTCGGTTTCGGCCGAAACTGAAAGTTAACTTTATGCTTAATTTCGGTTTCGGCCGAAAGAGAAAAGTTAACTTTCGTTTTTTTCGGTTTCGGCCGAAATTGACTTTGACTTTCGGCCATTCGAAGTGATTTTTAAGAACGAACTAAATGATCTTTAAGAAAAAGAAATGATCTTTAATAGTAAACTAAATGATTGATAAGAATAAACTAAGCAATCTTTAACAGAAAACTAAATGTTCTTTAGGAACAAACTAAAAGATCTTTAAGAACAAACTAATCGATCTTAAGGAACAAAATCAATTATCTATAAGAACAAACTAAGCAATCCGATCTTTATGAAAAAACAAAGTGATCTTCAACAACAAAATAAGTGATCTTTAAGAACAAACTAAACGATTTCTAAATAACAAACTAAAAGATCTATAAAAACAAAACAAACTAAATGATCTTTAAGAACAACTAAGCGATATTTAAGAACACAATCAAAGATCTTTAAGAACAAACTAAGTGATCTTTATAAACAAACTAAATGATTTTAATAACATTTAATAACTAAAAGATCTTTAAACAAAAACTAAGCGATCTTTAAGAACAACCTAAGCGATCCTAAAAAACAAAATAAACGATTTTTAACAACAAACTAAGCGATCTTTATGAACAAACTAACCGATCTTTAAGAACAAATAAAGTGATCATTAACAAAAAAACTGAACGATCTTTAACAACAAACTAAGCGATCTTTAAGAACAAACAAAACGACCTTTAACAACAAGATGTTATATTAGATGTTTATTTATTAATATTCACGATTATCTCCTTTTTTATAAAAAAGAATGTAAATATTTATAATTTCCCCCATCATTTTCGATGTACGCGGGAACGAATTTCGAAATATCTAAATATTTCATTTTCGGCTTCCACCGAAAGTCATTTTTAAACTTTCGGCCTATTTTCGGTTTCGGCCGAAAGTCATTTTAAACTTTCAGCCTATTTTCGGCTTAGGCCGAAATCAGAAAATCATTTTCGGTCGGTGTCTAGTTTATGCTGCTATATACACATTTGCTACGTAGCATTTGTTCACATTCCATCACTCAGTTTATGGTATCTTTGCATTGAGATAGAAGCATCTATTTATGTCAATGATTACATGCGGTGCATTCATAAATGCAGACACCATTAAGGTAAATGCCATCTGTGTGAGTTTATAAATTGTGTTGTCAATAAATGCCAACACTGATGAATTAATTTAAATTCTTGATTTAATTTTTAAAAAACATTCCAATGTTTCTTTTCAACAATATTAACACCAAAACGTGTCTGTAAATACTGCACTCACTATTTTAAGGAACAAGAGACAGACCTTTGGGGCCATTGAGAAAACACTATTCTCATGCCCCAGAATTAGTGCTGCGATAACAGAGAAAGATTAACGTGAGGACGTAACAGGTGGTGTCTTTAATTAAATCTCACGTGCCAGAAATAATCAGGTAGTGTAAGGCACTTGATCCATATTATTTACAGCAGCACCTTTGGCGTGAGAATGACCATCTGTTACATCAACAAAGTACTCTTGTTTTCATAACAATCATCCGTCTCTGCAGTACAAGACTAGTTCATTTTATAAATAGAACAACCACCAGTCTCTACACAAGTTCATTCTATAGTTAGACCACCAGTCTCTGGTTCATTTTATAAATAGATCAACCACCAGTCTCTGGTTCATTTTATAAATAGATCAACCACCAGTCTATACACAAGTTTATTCTATAGTTAGACCACCAGTCTATACACTACAAGTTCATTATATTTTTTAACTAGACCAATCTTCAGTCTTAGAAGTGCTTATATTAATTTTATTATTATTAATAAATCTTCAGCTCATAGACTTGTTATCCCTCAGTTAAAGAATTCCCTGCTGTCCCTCAGTAAAAGAATTAACTGCCATCCTTTAAACTTATTTTTTATACAGGCAAACTGCAGAGCTACACACAAATTGAACAATCACATATAAATGGTTTAAGAACCATTTAAAACAACAACCTAGTCTTAAGTAAACACAAATAAATAAAGGAACAAGAAAAACTGGTAAATGCAATAAAGAACAACTTTTAGAATATTTTATTATAATTCATGTGACAAAACTGTGAAGGATATTGTTGGTTTATAGAGACTCCACAAAAATGAATAAATCCTTTTTTCGAACAATTTTGATATTTGTTTAAAAAATTCAGATTGTGACAGAGGATCATCATTTTTATAAAATCAAAAGTTTTATCTGTTTTTTTTTTTTAAAGGAGACCACGCTATCTCCCTACCCTAACACAGATAAGAAGGAAATGTCACAAGCACTTTTAGGTGGTTTACAATCTTCATTTAAAAATGTTTTAAAACATGGACCATAAAAAAATGACCAGGAATACAACAGTTTTATAACAGACACCAACCCCCAAAAGAGATTAAATAAATAAGTTAAATGGCAAAGGATTTAACTAAGAGCTTTAGGGTGGATGAGAAGAAACTTTGTTTTTTTGTTTTCAAATCAGCTAGAAGGAGATATAAATTTATAAATGCACAGCATAAATGGTCATTTTTAAAAAAACAAACAAACGGAACTCAGAAGAACAAGACTGAATGTAAATAACTTTTGTGCTGATCCATAGATGACTTAAGTTCTGACTCTGCTTTGACCACCACCAGGGAGATGAGAAGAGACGATTATGAAAACTTCAATGAGGGAAAAAAACCACAAAAATGTCCAACAGTGAAATGATCCAACTAAACTCTGGTAAACATAATGACAAAGGTTGAAAAGGAGGAACAAGCAGCTTGCTCTTAGCCTGTTTTTTTGTACACTGTTTTTTTTTGTTTGTTTGTTTTTGCATTGATGAAATCATTTTGTAACCATTAACATTGAGATGATCTTGAGGCCTTATATTCTATCTAATTGGTCTGATAATCTTTTGGAGAAAAAAATAAAAATAAAATCACACATCAGATATTCATGACATTCGAACTAACACAAATCATTCATCATTCAAGTTAGCCATTCGGTCATCATTCACATTGAGTTGCCCATCCATTGAGTAGCAGCCCTTCATTCCCCCTTCTCACAAGTCCACAAGTTTGGGTGATGCTCGTCATGACATTCGGATACTCTGGATAATTTGGAAAACCGCTGTTCAGAAGAAAATAAGGTATCTCTTTAAACAAGAACCCAACAGGAAGAGGCAAAAAAAAAATCATTAAAAAAAAAAAAAAAATAACTTAAACTTACATAAAAAAATATATTAAAATCAAAAGTTTGGGTGATGCTCGTCATGACATTCGGATACTCTGGATAATTTGGAAAACCGCTGTTCAGAAGAAAAAAAGGTATCTCTTTAAACAAGAACCCAACAGGAAGAGGCAAAAAAAAAATCATTAAAAAAAAAAAAAAAATCACTTACACTTACATAAAAATATATCTTAAAATATCCTATTTATAAAAAACTTATTGTGCACATAAGAAAAAAGTTTCTTCAATGACTTGTATAAAAGCTATACTTAAATTGCTCATAGGAATGTATCTCCGTATAAAAGGTAGAGTTGCCCCATTATTAATCATGAGCAGCTAATATAAACTATGATTCATTCTTACCTGAGCCACAAACAACGAACAAGAACAATGCCATCAGAGCCGGGCCAACAGGGTATTTGTCTTCAGCATTTTTCTGAAAATAAATGGAATTAAATGCGTCTTAATATAGATTAAAAAAGTTGTTAAAATAGTAATGGGACCAGCAGCCATGTAAGAAATATCTTGCCTGTTGTAACCATTTAAGATTCACATGTGTAATAAAATGTCACATCTCATCCATTAAATAATTAAATCAAGACATCCTTTAGCCAGCTGCACACAACAGACCATTTGATCTCTGAACCTCATCTTTATGTCAAGAATCAAATATTACTTTGGCTGAATTCATGAAACAGTAAGAGAAACTAAAGAAATAAAAAAACCTTCCAATGTTTTTAGTTGGGTGGGCATCCAATATTTGATTCTTAAGCCCTAAGGTGAAAAATGCAAGTGAAGTGAAGAAACTGGTTTCACCATAATATTATTTTGAGTCATTTTTCTACAGCTTTATATAGTTCTCTAGATTTATTAAAACCAAAAGAGGTGAGAGTGATTCAACAGGGACATGGCAGAAAAAACAACTCTATTGGCCATCAGTGACAACTGAGTAGTTCTAAGTAACTGTAGTCAATCATTCTAAATTTACTACACAGTCCTGTCACCTTAAGAGGATTCAGCTAAACAAATAACCAAAAGCAGAAAATAGGCCGTCCCTAATCCTTCCTTTATTCTTAAATCATGTTTACTGGTTAGTTGGACGAAATTGAAGGGATTTGTCCTAGCATGATGCTTACTAAATTAGGGATTCTTGGGGTTCACAACTTTTGTTTACTTTACACCAACTGAAATCAACTTCTGTCAACATTTTAAATACTAATTTATTCAAGGATTTTGGAACCTATAAAACAAGATACACTTTTTCTTCTAACAAAATAAAGCCAGCCTACACCTCAAAATTATTATACACAATAAATATTATTCTTGAGAGGGTTGGGGAACAATTAAACCATAAAAAAAAACATTGATTTTGTTTATTTTAAAGTTGCAACCTAAAACTTAAAATAAGAAAATCTTATGAGCCTAGCCAATTGTCTGTGTAAACTGTGTTATTTTTTTCTACTAATCCGTGTTACCAATTTCATTGGTACTCCAATATTTGCTTACAGGGCAGTAAAAAGTAACCTGCAAGCTGTGTTACGTTAAATACCACGCTAAAATCATAAATGCAAAAGCTGTATAGCTTGATAGTTACTTTTTGTAAAATAAAATTGATGTGGACAAATGTTGTTACTCAGATCTCTTTTCAGGACAATTTGTTTTTTAAGACTGGATATTAGTCAAAATTAGGCCCAAATTTAATAGAGTTGGACTATTCTTTCATAAATGACATTTCGATGTTTTAGATTTATTATTTGTATTTTTATTTTATCGGTTTAAATTTTGTTTAGAAGCATACTGAAATATTTACTAGCCCTTTTTAATGAATCTGCGTAAATAAAACCATTTTATAATATGCGAATATTTTATTAATTAGACTCTAGTAGAGATTGTTGTTAAAGAATGTAAACAATGCAGTTGGCACAGCTTATGATATATTTCATCCTAAAAAACATGAAATTTTACATCTATGTGTGTTGTAAAAATTTTATTCTCTGACACTAAATTTTATGGCCATAAATGAGATTTAAACAGTTTTGGAAGTTTTAAAAACTGGAAATTTAAGTGAAGTATATATTTTTTATGCATTTCATCTCTAAAAGTTGCACATAGGTCATTTATATTAGTTGCTCTTTTACATTCACATGCTTAACTTGTGAGATGTTCGAGATGATTACCCACCGGTTCCAACTCCTATGTTTTTCTCAGCCAGAAAGATAGGCTTATATTTGTGGGAAGGAATGTCAACATGGATACAGTGAGCAAGTATCTTCATCCTAAAGGTTTTTCAAGCTATTTTTCACACTGAATTTGGTTGAAACATTTGTAAAATACTCCTATTCAACTACCATGGGACATTCTAAATCTTGAATCAACTGAGGTAAGTTGATAGTTCAGCAGATGTCAGATGAATTTTACAAATTTCTAGGACCACTAATGTGCATGGCAACTGTATATGTCCCCAGTGTACAAAAATACTCATCAAATTCAACAATCTTTAATTGCTACCATGACTTGTGGGCTAGTGCCTTATTCCCAAAAAAACCCACATATTTATTCAAATTATGACATTCTTCAAAGTTTCTAATATTGAAACAGACAAAAAGGACACACTGTGCAAAGTGAATTTGTTGTCTGACTATATCAGAAGAAAAACAAATCAAAACAAATCAAAGCAATGTGATATGTGGTGGATAAGAGATAATAAAATTTATACAATAGTCTCACTTATTTCAAATTATATGACAGCAAATGGATTTTCTTTTTTAAACAGAACCAAAACCGATGGATTATTTTAGGCAATTATTGGTGAGAAGACCAAATATTGTCAAATCAGATTTTGAAATCATACAATTCATTCGTATGTGGTGTTGACCTGTTGATAAATGGATATATCTCCCTAATAAAAAGAATATTGCAAGCTATAATCTCTTTAGGACTGTTCAAAAGAAAATTATGATATAGATGAACTAACCTAACATTTAATTCTCAATTGATTTCACAGAGGAAATTATTTGAGCACCAGATGATTTACAAAAACTGATTATGTTCCAAGTGTCTCAAATGTAAATAACACAAAATACACTATGATACATCCAATAGTTCCTGAAGCCACAGATTTAAAAAGACACTCTACAGTGTGATATAAATTAGGAATGAAAAGAAACTTAACATCCTAAAACAAAAGTAGCACATATGTACCAGTACAATGAAGTTTTAAAAGTCTATCTTTTGTATTGTGTAAATAATATTGTATGGTAAAATACTAAAACTCATACCGGTAAGTACTTTATGGAGGGGTGCTGAAAGAAACAAAAAAATATTTCCCCTTTTTTTCACATTTTACAAAATATTTTATAATTTGGTCTAATGCACATGAAATGTACTAAATTATGCATATGACATACTGATTTAATTGAATAATTTCAGGTGGTTAGTTTTTTGTTTTCTTTGCATCTATATGAACACCATTTTTGTTTAAATTTTCATTAAAAAGATTAAGCATTATTTTTTTTCCCATTATTTCTAAGTGTTGACATATGTTTTGAAACAAACATTTTTTGAAACCCCATCATTTCCTCATTAATTTATATATTATATATAGGATTCTAAAAGTTATTGACTCTGTTACAAGGCACTAGAAATCTCAAGAAAAACATGTAACATTAAAAAAATTAAAGCGTAAACATATTTTACTTCCAGGGTTGGCTCAAAACATGTTGCTAGGACTAATTATTAAATAACGTTTTGAGTTTTAAAGTTGATTTTTGAAAAGAATTTAAAATAAATGGAGGGATCATTGATTCCTAGCTGTCAAACTGATCTTCATGTTTTCTACTAAGAAGAAGAACACCTCAATAAAAGATGAGGGTCTCGTATAGTCTACATAGGTCACACTAAATTATAAAAGACGGGTGGAGCTTTAATTTGTGTGTGTTCTAGTAAGACTGAATTGTTAAATCAGTTGGGAAGTGCAGAAAGACTACATTTTAATTATTAAAGGTGATGTTTAAGGCGAGACATGCCCTAAGCATATTATGTGATGGATAGAGCGCAAAGCACACTTAGTAAACCACTATGAATGCTTTCTTCCTCATGCATAATTTTCATGGCTAACGTAGCAACTTTATTATATCCCTCCACATACGCAACAAGAAGTGTCACTGATTTGAGGTCACACTCTTCCGTTGAGTATCACTTGACTGTGGCTCTAAAAATTGGCTAATTACACTACACACTTTGATGACAATTCCAAAGCCGTAAAAATAAATAACAAAATTCTTATTTTACAAATATTTCTGGTGACAATAGCATCAGCAAAAACGCACATGCACATCATCACAATAACAAATTGAGTACCGGTATTGAGCCCTGGGAAGCTGCAATTTTTTATTGATAATAATAATATGATAATTATGAGACTAATTCATTAAAAAATGTTATTTGATATATTTAATAATTGTCTATGTACTGCTATTCTATGTCCTAATAAAAATATAATTGCTATGACGATGTTGTTTGAGTCTTGTTTATTAATTTGATGTATTTTAATAAAACTGTTATTGTGGAACTTATAAGCTTGTAATAGAATTAGATTAAGAAATATTAAGCTTAGGCCTAGGCCTAAATAGAATGTTATAGGATTATAATAACAGTTGTTTATAATTATAACTGATAATGATAAGTAGGCCTAATTTTAGTAATATTCTCTGAAATAATTAATAGGAGAAAAATTATGATTATTATCGATATTACTATTGTAAAACTATTTAAAATTGATTCAATAATGAAAAAACGATAAACTGTGTACCGACTGTACTGGTACCGTACACAATTTTTAATGTAATAAATAAAGCTTAAAACCAACCCTTGGTTACTACATAAACTTTTCAAGTTTGGTTATAATCTTTTCTTAAAATGATTCATTTTAAACGTCTTATAATTATTTAGATGTTTAAGGATTTAACACTTACGAATCACAGTGATAGCAGCCATTTCAGGCTTATCGATCAAAATAAAAAAATAATGATAATTTCATACCCCCCACTTCTTCGCAGGATGCATAACTTTTTATCGAGAGCTCAACGATAATAACTCTAGAAATGAAAAAACTCTTACAATGAATGTAGATTAGGGCGCACTAAAACCTTATTTTGGTGGCTTTACTAGTAAAAAAAGTATTTATGCGATTTATATACTAACCGAGTCATTATAATAATACTGCCCGTGATGCACAAAAAATATCGTAGCATAAATCAATATATGAATGACCGGAACACAAAAACTGATTCGTCAGTGATGAGGAAAGCAGTTATTTAATAAACAAAGGTGACGTAGTATGCAATTTTCCAATGATACCATGTAGGTGTACGCCATATTGCAGAACACGTTTTTTCGAAGTTTAAGGACATGCGCAGAACAGTGCGTGGACAAGTATTGTTATCCCTACAATAGGTGAAAGCTTTTAAAAAAATAATAGTTGAACCACTAATTATTAAATAAATAAAATCTACAGGGAATGTAATTTAAAATTTATATTTAATTTCTTTAGCGAATTTTTTTTTTTAAAGGCATAGTTATAGTTAGTAATTATAATTCATGTATTTAATTTCCATGACATGGTAAATGTGGCTAAAAATTTTTTTTAAACTAGCACATAACTAGTAATTTATAATAAGTTAGTAAGTTAGTAGTTCAAATGAAATGTTTGAAAACACAGCTATAATAGGATAAAAATAAGCAGATACGTCTGGGCTCTACGCTATATACAATTGATAAATAATTACCGTATCACCTTATCACATTTCTCATGAAAGTGAAACAACAACCAAAATCTTTCAATTCAATATGGTAACAATTTAAAAAGTACCACGTCAACGAGTCGACAATCCTATGCCACAATACTACAAAAAATTATTTACCAGAGTTTTTGGGACATTTCCTCGTGTTGTGATGTTTTTACTGTGCTTTTCGCTAGCAAGTCTCATGCGCTGCTTGTTTGCCATAATTAGTTCTATAATTTCAACCACAACTGCCTAATTAAATGTTGTGGATTTGTCACACGTAGAAAATAAAAGTGACAACGAAGCCGGAAATACGTGAAAAGACCTTTGACCTGCGAGGTCAGTGTATTTATACACTCACCGGTACTGCGCAGATTATGTTTTCGCAAATTAAGTGTTTAGAAATATGCAAACTAATGAACAGAGAGTAGACCTTTCTTAATATTAATTAATGGAAGTGAAAATAGAACGGGTCAATTTACTAGAAAAGTATTACTATTTAAATCACTGCCTTGTATTCACACTGCCAGCATGCATGTTGGCGATGATTATTGATAATTTATAATCATTACCGGTCGTTCGCAAATTACATCACGCACGGGAAAAAAAAAAAGCGGGGGGGGGGGGGGGGGGTCACGTCCCGTTTTTAAAATTTTTTTTTATCTAAAATTTTCTAAATTTGAGAAACATTGATTTGAGGTCGAAATAGCCTCAGGTATTCAAGATACTATGAAACTCAGTTTTCTAATAATACTACATCTTAAACCATCACGGTCATGGGAAAATTTAGATTAGCTATTTACATTTTATGTATGATTGAATTTTTTTAGGTGTGACGTGACATTGGAAGGCGGAGGGTTTAAGAATTTGAGACACTTCGTGACGGGGGAAGGGGGGTCTAAAAGGTAATTTTTAGCGTGACGTAATTTACGAACGGCTCCTTATACTATAATACTTTATTTTAGGGCTTTTATGGCATTTATGGACAAGTTTAAAAATTGCCACAAGAACCGGTGCCAGATTTGTTAATTTAATAATCTTATCATTTGACCTCAAATTGTCATGTTGTGCGGATCGGCAAGACGTAAGGCTCGCTAGCCGGTGCAGGTCCACTAACAACCATTTGAGGAACGCTGGCCAATAGTGTCTATGATCAGTATGAGTAATGCAGTATTTCCCAAAATTTTTAATGCCATGCCCCATCTAAGCCTTTCTGAAATTCGTATGCCCCTTATGTAGTTTACACACAATTTTAAATATTCAAAATTTGAAATGTTTTCAACACTTCGAACGCTTATTTTTAATTGAGACTCTAATGATTCTCATTTTAAAATACAAGTTAGGCCTAAATAGTAGAAGACGATGGGTTTACAAATTCTAGAAGGCTTTTTTTTTTCTAATTGCCCCCGTTAACAATACAACTGCCCCCTCCCCCCCCCCCTTTTTCCTGTAGAACGTAGGCTCCGCGTTGGGAAACACTGGAGTAATAAAACGATTATAGGCTAACTCATAAATAACCATGAAACCCACCATATTGGTAAACTATTTAATTTAACATAATACAAAACAGCAATTACAATGAATTGCATATCGGCAAAAAATCTCACAAAAGCTTAATCTGCTAGTCAGAATTATTAATTCGTACTTTAAAGTGTTAATGAATTTCAAATAAATAAATAAATATTTTTAAAAAATTCGTAGACAAAATTAACCACTCATGCATTACGCATTACCAGAAATAGAATAGCTAATTTTGTCTTCAAAGAAATGTTTCTGTAACTCATTAGATTTTGTATTGCATAGCAACATTATGGATCTGATGAGCACCCCCAAATGTATCGATGAATATGTCATATAAACAAATATTGTCGACACAAATTTAAGAATCGAAGTGGTTATTCGGACCCGGTATCAGAAATGAGAGGTTGGATTTAAAAAAAAATAAGGCCGGCACTACGTACACCGCGGCGGTGTACCTAGCGAAACTATTGACTTTGGCCTGCGTACACCGCGGCGGTGTACCTAGCTAAATCATGGTCTGTGGCCTGCGTACACCGCAGCGATTTACAGTAGCCAAACTATGGTCTTTGCGAGTCTTTAACTTTTTGGCCTAACCGGTACTTGTAGATTTAATGTTATACTCGTGTTAAAACTGAAAACTATTAAAAATTCGTTTATTACCTTGGGAAGATATTGAGTAAGGTCCACACGTATGTGGCAAAGTGCATGTAAAGCATTTCTTATTATTTTTGGAAGGGAAGGGGCTGGGGGTGGGGGGTAATGTTAAACCATGATTTATTTTTAAAGTTAACCACTTTATTCCCCCCTCCCCCAATATCTTTAAATATATTTATTAATTGTAAGTTTTATCATATGATTGTGAATCTTAATTTGAAATTATTCTCTCATGCCCACCCCCACCCAGTTGTTAGTTGTTTTGTTTTGGGTTTGTTTTTTTTTTGGGGGGGGGGTGCCTTATAAATATAACATTGTATGTGATCCCTCGGGGCATGGTGTAAAAATGAATGGGAAGACAGTGTATCTATTTTGTTAGCACCATGATATAATTACGCCACAAATACACTACGGGAAGAGAATCACATACTCATACATTGATCATGAAGTCGTGAAGTTAAAGTAGTCCGAGGCATTGTCATTGTGACACCAAGCATGTGTCAACACAAAACAGCAGTAAGATGATCAATACGAAACACTGCAGTTATTTGAAAGTCTTTTAACAATAATTAAAAATCATTGATTTAGTTTTACATTGGCATTACACATTAGTAAAAAAAATGCAGGCAGAGGGAGGGGGGATGCAAAAGGTAAGTTGGTTGTGCGGACGTCCTTTGTGGACAACCCCTATCCTGAGCCGTGATTTGTGAATGCCCTCTTTTTGGTTAAGCCTCTGCCCATAACTCACCACCACCCCCCACTCCCCGGCAAGGATCGATTTCTTAAAAAAAAAAAAACAACAACAAATACAAAAACTTTGACATAGTGCAAATCCTGTCCCAGGCGCATTGTGCAATGGTTTCTGTGAGAAAACGTCGTGTTTTACCCTGAGAATAGCACATGCCATGCCATTCTGGAAACAAATTACGTCATGAAAAGGGTAAACGCAGACCTATGGCTTTGCTATACAGTTTGCTACCGCTCCGCAAGTTTCTAAAATCGAGGTGTTTTCAAAAGATTTGCTGTGAGACTGAGTGTTGTGAATGAACCTTTGATATCGTGTGTACATTTTGCCAATGCATAAGGCATAGTGAAAGCAAGATGGTTCAAGGTTGAAATACGACCATGCACATTAATATTCATATGCATGAATATTATTCATACTGGTATTTTCTTTGGTTGTTCGTAAAAGTAAAATGTAAATATTCAACTATACGAAGAATGTTGAAATACAATAGAATATCAGTCACTTAGTATTCATAATGTTTCTGTTATACATGATCATCATGTATTACATGCGCTTTCAGAAACTTTAAGTTTGTTTTCAAATGTCTAAAGTCTTATTACTAAAGTTACCGGTATTTTCAAAGTCAAAGGCCGGCACAACTTGTTGAAACACTTATATATATAAATAAATATATAAAGTGTATTTAATATAATATTTAAACATATATTTAAATGGTTTCAATTGCTACAAAATACTTTAAAACTAAAATGGGAGGAAAAAAAACTCGATCCCCTACTGGAATTTGATCTCAAACTATATTATCACCAAGCGTCCACTCTACCACTTGACCACACAAGATCCTCTCCAAAAAGTATATCTTAAAACCAGGCCAATGGTAAATTTTTGCCGCGGTGTACCCAGGCCAAAGCCCACGATTTCACTAGGTACACCGCCGCGGTTTAAGCAGGCCAAAGCCGATGGTTTCGCTAGGTACACCGCCGCGGTGTACGCATCCACTTCGAAAAAATAATTAAAAATACTATAATACTATTCTAATGGGACCAGTGCACGCATTACCGTTATTCGGACACGGGTCCCTTTAGACTAAATGATTTTCGGATGTCATTTGTGGTAGTTTAATTTAGTTAAATGGAATGGCTATAGGTACCCGGGTACCTACAGCAACAATTAACTATTTGGACCCGGCTGTCACGTGACGGCTTTATAATATTCGGTTGGTCACGTGACGGTTATGACGGATACTTCGTGTTGGATTGCCATCTTAGACTTAGAGTAGAGCCATTACTATCAATCGAGAAATGTGTCATATTTTGAAGATCTTCATGAACCGGTAGCGTTGAAGAAACACGAAGAACAATTGTGACGTAATGCTAAAAGCAAGTAAGAATACGTTTATGTTTATAATTTTATTGTATTTTTAAATTCTATTTTAAATATTAGTTCTATAGGTAATTTTAAATCTACCACTTGAGCGTCGGCCAAGAAAATATCCAGCACCCACGTCTTTTCAATTTTGCTCTAATAAGCCACATTCTTTGTGCACTTTTTAAACAATCTAATCGATTTTTGAAACCTTATACTTATACAAGAAGACATACCTCATTAACCTCACTTGACTCTATCAAAACAATATTTAATTGATACAGCATAGACGCTGCACAAAACCAACTGCTACTTTAATAAGAACAGAGTCAGAGTACCAAGTAGTAGGTACTTGGGTAAAATTTTCAAAATGAATTTATAGCTTTAAGAGCTAGTTGGTTAGATAGGGCCTGAAAAATGCAATTCATTGATACTAAATTTATGTTTTTAGGTAAATTCTAAAGAAAGTTATGATTTTTTTTCGTGAAATATTTTGGGATAACTCTGTTAATTGAAACATATAGGAAAATATAAAAGTGACTAAAATAAAAATTGGGCAGAGAGTTAGGAGAGATGTTAAAAAAGAGCAGTAAATTGAAGTTATTTAATGAAGAAAACCATAACAAACCATATATATCCGTGATCGTCGTAACATTATCCAAACAGTAGTAGGTTGGAGAACTAGTGAAAAATACCAACTTAATTATAATTATAAATGGCTTGCATTAAGTCCATTAATTTTTTAACACTTCAGGTTGCAGCAGGACACAGTCTGGGAGCCTCTGTCCTAGTCAATTACATGCCATAATAAACACATATCTTTACATTTTCTCTTAACACCTAGCAATCATCCTAATCCCCCTTCCAATAATAAATATTAGTATCTTGATCCTTTGAATGCACTTTATATAAAGATAAATCCTGCAAGTGCATGTAAAAAATATCAAAAGACTGTATTGGAATGGCTAGTTTCACAGATTAGGTTAAGGTAAAGTCTTGCACATTCCTAATTTAGTTAAAATTAGATAAAAATTCCTAAAAAATCTAAATTCCCTTCTGACATCACATATTGAGTGCATTTTTGC